GAAAAATAAATCCTACGCCATTACAAGGCGCAGGTCTATACATCGCCAAAAATTACAAAGACCCGTTTTTTGGTAAATAAGTACGGAAATTAAATAAAGCGATAAACCTATTTAACTATTACATTCTTGAAGGCAATTACATAATAATCAAATAAAGTAAATGCGCGCGAATAAATTAATCGGGAATGTCTAAGGGTGTTGACCCTTTTTAAGAAAAGGAATTGATTTTTTTTTGTCTTTTTTGTAATTAAAATGAAACTAAAGTTAATTAATGACTAATTAATTAATTTAATTAAAGAAAATATTTTTGTTTTTTATGTTTTTATGAAATAAAATAGAAGAATTAAAATTCTAAGTCAACCTAATTCTAAGTTATTTTAGTTATTAAAAAAAAGAGTTAAAATGACCTAATTAAGAAAACTAATTCAATTATTGTTTATTTACAAAATAAAAATAATAATAATAAAAATGTTAATTCTATTTTTTTGATTTTTTTATATGAAAATGTTAGTTGATTAATTAATTGTGTTAATAATAAAAAAAATAAAAGGTTAGAAATTAAAATAATAGAAAAAACAAAACAAAATGAAAAAAAAGAAGTAAAACCAAGGGGGGGGGGGGGGTGTGGGCTGAAATGGAGGTTGTGATGTTGAATCTTGGCCCATTGAAAGCAAGCTCGTTTGGACTTTTCTGGATCGCCTATGCCCACGTTGACTCCAGACCATGGTGTTCCTTATGCTTGGCCCTTAGATATGCCTCCAATGACACTTGGCGCGCTCTTGGATGAGGTCTATGGTGTTCCTCTTTTGAGAATCTGCACGTGAAAGCAATGAAAAAAATGATATGGAAATTATAGGGGACCTGGGAAGAACTTACAGCGCGGTATGAGCCTCAAGACTTGGCAAAGGTTGCTTTAGCTTCAGGGTGTGGCAAGGAATAGAACCACGTGCTTGTTTTGATCTGAAGATGCTCGCAACTATGTTTTAGAACTCTCACTTTTTGAATAATTTTTGGTTTTGCTCTTGGCCGTTTCTGCACACACTCTTTTTTGAATGAGGTTGGGAAGGCTTGTATATATAGTAATGTAAAGTGTATCAATAAGAATAATGGTCATTAAGCTTATGCAATTATGTTCTTGATTTCCTCCATAACCAACATTGAACCATTTTCCATATTTGTGAAATTTTGAATTTTTATGCCCATAATAGGCCATGCGCGAATTTGGAATGTGTTTTAAGGTGTATCAAAGTTAATCATCACAAAATATATCCCTCCATTAATTTCTTTGATTTTTATTTGAATTTTAAAGATTTAAAATGAATTAAATCAAATAAAATTAAATAAAAATGGAAAAATTGATTTTAAATCTTGAAATAAATTGTGGGACACATGGGAAGCATGGCCAAGCTGAATCAAGTGGAAAAAGTGGGCCCCTTTTGTCAAAAATGAAGTTTCAAGGATAATTGACTTTGGCCATTTCACAAAAATTTCCCAACTTCTCTAATGCATATCTTGCTCAATTTTGAAGCTATGAACATGTTCTTGGACATTTTGGAAAGGTATTGAAGTCCTCTAACCAATGCCTTTGGTCCCATGTCATTTTGATTTACCAATCTCAATTTATGGTCTTTGACTTAAAGTCCCTTTTTGTTGATTTTTGAAAATGACCTATAATGTTGAAATTGATAACTTTTTGTGAGAGCATTTCTTTGACTTGTAATGTGAAGATGAGTTGTAGGAAATGTCTTCCCCTTCAAGATGAGCATTGGATCGGATTTTTCTGATGAACCATGAAAAAGTTATGCCTTGGTCAAGTTACAGTTGACTTTTTCAGCTGTCCAAAAATGGAAACTTTTGCATCTTGATGATTTTTGAGCCATTCTTGTGAAATCATGGTCAAGATTTGACCAAATGATGATCGTGGCTTAAAAATGAGATGTTGACCAAAATTTTTGACTTTTGACTGCCAAATGACCATTTTGCCCCTACAATTGATTGTGAAGCAATTAGGGTTTTTGACTGTGCAACTTGACCTTGTGAGCCTTGAAACTTGACATGTAGGTGCTTGACAACGTGTATGAGCATATGGGACTTGATTGAGCCCTTGAAAACCTCAACTTCCTTGCAAGAACCAAAACCCTAATTTGCATGGCTTAGGAGGATGGTTTGACTGTGTAGCCCTTGAGTAGACTTTGAACCCTTTAAGGCAAAACTTTGAAGATTATGGGAGGGAAAATTTTGGGGTACAACACTTGCCATGTTTGTTTGTTTGGATTCAGATGTCTCAACATGTCACAGGACATCTGCAGTCTGATATACTAGAATTTCACTATCTCCAATGGTACATGGAATAGAGAAAGTTATGTTCTTGGTTATTGAGACAAGCCTGGAAATCTCTAAGAAGGTTCATTAGTTTAGGCTAGGGTAAAACTATATTTGGTTGGAATAATCCTAAAATTCTCAAGATCAGCTTGTATTAAGGTTCATGGACATAACCAATAAAAGCTCAAAAAGGTTATAGTTAAAATCTTATGAAGACCTCTTGGGGTCATGACTAGGCCAATGTTAGGCCGAAATTGAATAACTCTCTAGTAGAATCTCTCTAACATTTACTCTCTTTAAGTTTCTACTATTTGTTTTATTTCGATGTGATTCACTCTCAAAAAACTACTAATACGATCTTAATTGAAAAAGTATAAAATTATCACGAATTTCAAAAACCACATTTCACCCCATCTTGTGCTTAAGGTCACTTGTCCAACTTGTTGTATGCATAAGAAGCATGTGGCTTAAACATCAAAACCTCTCAAGTAATGAATGTTGGTTTTATCTTTAAAATGCTTTGTAATTTATTGATTAACCCTAATGATTCATGGTGTCAGATTCTGATTAATATGTATGGTAAGAACTAAAACTCGGTGGAGAATATAATTTGCAAAGCGAGTGATTCCCATTTACGAAAATCATTAGCGAAGATATGTGACAAATTTTAGAATATACTACCTTAAAAAGAGGAATATTTTATGATACCACCTTGACGGTTAAAGATGTTGCTAATAGAGAGGTGAAGTGACACCTTAATTTTCTTCAAAGCTGGTTCAATATTGAGATGATTAATCACATCGTTGATAATATATTTTTCTATTAGCAACACATATAAATATATTTCTCCATCTCTAGTTGTTAAAGCTACAAATTTCGATTGGAATATCTTTTGGAAGTGGAAAAACCTCATCGAAGACATTTACTTGGCTTATGGCATACAAGAGACTTTAAACAAATTATAGGTGTCATATGAGGAATTCAAATATCCCTACTGATTTTTCTAGTGAACAAACAATTAAGAGACTTTGGTTCATGTGTTGTGAGATTTCCCTTATGCAACACAAATTTGTATTAGACTAGTTCCTTATAACAAAACAACTTATTTGTACTCTTTTTCTTGTAAGGGAATGACACTGCTTACAACCTCAGATAAGGCGTTACAGGTTTTTGCAAAGTGCACATGAGGCCCATCTTTAAAATATCTTGTTGGTACTTTTGAAAGTGGAGAAAATAAAACTATTTTTAAAGAGGGCACCCAAAGTCCTAAAACCTAAACAGAAACAATCATACATTTGGTAAAGGAGATTGAGAATGACAATTATGTTAATGACAAAGTTGGACTTTTTAGACCAAAGATTAGACATGAATGTTGGTATCGTCCAGGTAGCAATTGGATTAAGTTTAATTGCAATGACACTTATAAGAGTTCTACTTCCATTGTTCGTTGCAGAGGTTTATTCAAAGGTTCTTCAAGAATTTGGGTGAGGGGGCAATGCACCAGAAGAAACTGGTATGTGTGATGCTTTCACTACTTATATGTTGAAAATGTCACATGGATTGAACTAACTAGATATGAGAGAATTACAAAATTGGTGGTCGAAAGTGATTCTAAAGTCTTAATAGATATGGTTAAACAAGAAACTACGACTGGACACAATTTCTCAACCTTCGTATGTAGAATAAGATAAATGACCCAAAATGATTGACGATAATAGTCTTAACGATAATAGTCTTAGCGAAAGAAAACAATTATAGTCTTAACAATAATAGACTCTTTATTCTTTCAACTCTCCCGACAAATTCATTGAAGCTCATTTTAGTTGAGATAGTAATGAGTTCACATTCCTCAAAATTGTTAGAATTTTTATTAGGTTTATATGTTTTTCTCTTTGGAATTATTTAATATTTTTATATAAAATAAATTTATAAAGTAAGATAAAAAAAAAAGAAAGAGATTCTTTAATCCCATCGTCCACTACCTCATTGCCCTAAACCTGAGTCCCGCTGAACTCAACTGATCGCTAAGCTCGCCGGGAAACACCGTCGTACGAAGAAAGCCCAGGTTTTTTTTCTTAGTTCAAAATATTTTTCCTTCTCTCCTGTAGCGCGCGCTAGGTTTCGATTTGCGCCCCTGCAAAAGTCTACTCCCCATAGAAGTGCGTCGCAGCAGATCCTTACTCTGCACTGCGATTCACAATTAATCTGTTTATGGTTAGGTTTACAGCTTATGGTGCAAGGATCTCTCCATTTTTTCTTGTGGTTTAATCAATAAATTAAAATCAAAATGATTGGATCTGCTAAATTGAAAATTTATAAGACTTTCTGTAACTGCCTGTAATGTATATTAGCATTTCTTAGGCTGTATTTTGGTGGCTACTGATAGGACCCTGAGTCTAGGCATTAGTCTAATAAGAGTTAGTTAGGATATTTCCTTAATTCTAGGGGATATTGTGTTATAAAAGAGAGGGAAAGAGATTACAGAATTCATTCAGAAAGTTTTTTAGAAAACAGGTAGGAGCTCATCTTTTACATTCAATAGAATACAATTTCCTTATCTTGATTTTAGGGGTTCTATCATTGGTCCGACCTTCCGGATAATCGAGAGAAGCTAGTGAAGTCGCAATCTCAGTCATGTCACCGGAGATGTCACCGAAAACGTTCAAACAACTGGATACATGGAATTGAGAATGACTACAATGGAGAACTCTTTCCTACAAAAGATTGATGAATTCCGTCAAAGCATGCTGTTGGAGTTTGCGAAACTGCAGGATCGGCGTTTTCCAAGAAGTGCTCATTCTTTCCCTTTCGCAGACGATTTAGTGTATGAATCCAAACTGACAATGAAGGAGAAGGAAATAGATACTAAAGGAAATGAGTTTGAGACTCAAACTCTCAGAACAGGTATCATAACAAACAAAGAAGTAGAAGTGCTTGTTGTGTGTCCTCGTGACTTAAGAGCAAAATAAAGAAAGATGCGAGGCAGAGAAAGAATCTGCGCCGTGCCGAGAATTGAGGAGGTCAGGGAAGATGAAGGATCTTAGTATGACGTTGGAGGGATAAGGTGTGCGTGGATCAAGATTGCGACCTCCTTCAAAACCACCGGATGCCGGTCGACCTACGGCGTTAGTACCACGGCGAGTCCCACCACCATCAAATGGAAATACAATGAATTTCACTAGGAACGGTAGACCCATTCTTGTAAGTTATAAGGAAGAAAGATTCAAGGTTAATATGGGCAATTCATGAGTTGGATCACATTCTAACCCTACCGGTAGGGGTGTTTGCAGGTTGGGTTGGGTTTAATTTGATTAAATCCAATACCTAAAGCAGGCCAGTAGGATCAGACCAATTCTTGGAAGGAATTATAAATTGGACCGAATCACTAAAGCGGGCCCAAATTAGTAGTTTGCTGATTAACCCATGTGTTCAGAAAATACCTTTCGCACACGGATTGCTCTTTTTAACCCGACCCGAGTCACTACCCGATGGAAACCCAATGCAAAGGCGCAAGCCGGTTGCCCTTCATTGCTGCTGTCTCTAGTGCACGCTTCACCTCCGTTATGGCAGTCTTGGAATCAGACGACGTCTCAGCTGCGATCTTCCCCGGTGAGTTTGTTGTTTTCTCTGCAAATTTCAATGACTCACGCTGTTCCCTCCACGAACCCTTCTAGTGAAGTTGCTGAAGCAGTCCAAACTAAAGACAAGGGGATGTAAATCTCGAGGAGAAGCAAAGAGTGGAAATAGAGTTGCAGAGTTTTTCTTCATCAAAGAAAATGAACCATGTGATTCAAATTTTCTTACCTTGTTCTCCCGAGTTCTCAAATAAAATCATTAATGGCATAAGGGTGTTAATCTACTGATATGGGCAGATAAAGGCTCAGATCTATTGAGACCATTCGTTTTAGAAAATTTATGTGTTTGATGATCATCAAGGGACATGTGAGTGATTGCATTGGAATTGCTTCTTCACACTCACTGTGTTGTTGGACTGTTCATATCTTAATTGTGGTGAATATCGGGCTGTCCTGGTTGAGGATGAATATAACAAGGAAATAAAGATGGCTACAATGCATTAGATTCTTCTAATAAGCTCTCTCTTTTCTTAGTCCAAGTTATGATTGTTGCAATGCTGACTTCTCTAAATTTGGAAGAGTTTAACAACAGTTTTTCACCCAAGTACACTGGAGCTGAGGCTATTTGGGTGGCATAGTCTTTTGCAGTTAGCTTGGCAAGTACCGACAGTGGGATCCTGGAAAAAATTATGAGGCAGCCGAAGACTTAAAAATTGTATAAATTGTATTGCAGTGGCAGTTTGCTGTTTATTTCACCACAGTTCCCATGTTTTCCATAGCTCGCGCTGCATGCTCTTGCTTGGGTTCTCCAGCAGTTGTTCACACCACAACCACATAAGAGTCAACTCAGAAGTTGTTCATGTCTCAAGCTCAGATTTGAGGATAAATCTGTTTTTAAGGAGTGGTAGTGATAGAACCCTGTGTCTAGACATCAGTCTTATAAGAGTTAGTTAGGATATTTCCTTAATTATATAGGGGATATTCTGTTATAAAAGAGAGGGAAAGGGATTAGAGAATTTATTGAGAAAGTTTGTTAGAAAACAGTTAGCAGAGATTTCTCTCTGGTTTAGGAGCCTAGCTCTGGAATAGGAGTTTCATAGAACTTTGGTTTATCTTTTCATTTTCCATTTCCGCCAATGTAGAGCTCTTGATCTCATCTTTTACATTCAATAGAATACGGTTTCCTTATCATGATTTTAGGGGGGTTCTATCAGATACACATATGCATTAATTATCATTTTTCCTTAAAATCAAAACGGACTATTTAAAAAGATTTTCTGAGGTTCGCTTTATCCAATTTCAACTCTATTCCCGGTCCAAAATATTCCAAAGATTGGCAGTGATGTAATATTCCTGATTTTAGCAGTGGTGAAATATTCCAAAATATTGACTTTATTTTTTAGTTTTTAGTTTGAAAGGAAATATATTTGTTTTATGATACTTTTTTAAGGATATATGAATACTTCTCAACTTTTCTATAATGACTTTAATAAATTTTATATTATTTATTGTTGGATTTCAAAAGTGGCCTCTTTGCATTGACAGCTGCCATGTCACTTGCAGGGTCACGATAGCTCTTTTGGGTCATGCCTTCAGTGATTACCAATTACCATTACCAATGTTATACATTTTGCAATATTGATAACCATGGCTGAAGTTATATATTTAATTACTCTGACCGGTTTGAAACATACACATTCTGCCTCTCTAACCAGTTTGAAACATACACATTCTGCCTCTCTAACCCTATGAAGAGAGAACAGTGTAAACCCTTTCAGTTGTCTCTTGCTCTTTTTTGCAAATATGCAATTGACTCTCTCCTTTTCTCCAGAAAGTTGTATGATTAATTTATGAGCATACAGTTTTTAAAGGAATAATAGCAGCTACAATACAAAACAATATAATAGTTTGCACTCATAAAGCTATTGCCTGTAATGTAGGAGCTGCTAGTTTTAAATCTTTCTCCTTATTTACTAACGTTTTCTTGCATGGTTTTTTCCTAGCAGAAGCCATGTCTTCATCATATCTTCCGGCCACAACAGAGTCAATTGCTCAGGCATTGGAGGCCAAAGACCATTCCGATTCAATCTCCATTCTATATCGCGTGCTTGATGATCCATCTTCTTCACCAGAAGCTCTGCGGATGAAAGAGCAGGCCATCACAAACCTTACTGACCTTCTCAGGCAAGAGAACCGGGGAGAGGATCTGCGGAGCCTTCTCACTTCATTGAGGCCCTTCTTCTCCTTGATTCCCAAGGCAAAAACTGCAAAGATTGTAAGGGGAATAATTGACTCGGTTGCTAAAATACCAGGGACATCTGATCTACAAATTTCACTCTGTAAGGAAATGGTGCAATGGACTCGTGACGAAAAGCGAACTTTTCTGAGGCAACGAGTTGAGGCAAGGCTTGCAGCGCTTCTGATGGAAACTAAGGAGTATTCAGAAGCTTTGACTCTTCTTTCTGGGTTGGTCAAAGAGGTTAGGCGATTAGATGACAAGCTGCTTCTTGTAGACATCGACTTGTTGGAAAGCAAGCTGCACTTCTCGTTAAGAAACCTTCCAAAGGCAAAAGCTGCCCTCACGGCTGCGAGAACAGCTGCGAACGCCATTTATGTTCCTCCTGCTCAGCAAGGGGCCATAGATCTTCAGAGTGGAATACTTCATGCCGAGGAGAAGGATTACAAAACTGGATACAGCTATTTCTTTGAAGCCTTTGAGTCTTTCAATGCCCTTGAAGACCCTAAGGCTGTTTTTAGCTTGAAATATATGTTGTTGTGTAAGATCATGGTGAATCAAGCCGATGATGTGGGTGGAATTATATCTTCTAAAGCAGGATTGCAATATGTTGGACCTGACTTAGATGCTATGAAAGCTGTTGCTGATGCACATTCTAAGCGATCCCTGAAGTTATTTGAATCCGCTTTGCAGGACTACAAGGCACAGTTGGAAGAAGACCCAATAGTTCACAGGCATCTTTCTTCCCTATATGATACCCTTCTGGAGCAGAACCTCTGTAGATTGATTGAGCCATTCTCAAGAGTTGAGATTGCACATATTGCTGAGCTTATTGAGCTTCCCATTGATCATGTTGAGCGGAAGATGTCTCAGATGATTTTGGACAAGAAGTTCGCTGGGACCTTAGATCAAGGGGCTGGATGCCTCATCATATTCGACGATCCCAAGACAGATGCAATATATCCGGCCACTTTAGAGACCATTTCCAATGTCGGGAAAGTCGTTGACAGTCTTTATGTTAGGTCTGCCAAGATCATGGCATGAGCTCTCTAGTTATTTTACTTCAGTGCCACATTACTCGATGTTTTCTTTTCCATGCTGACTAGTATATTATTTGGTTAGTTACCTTTTGTTAAACTCAAATTGTGAAAACCTTTTACCTTTGGCGCAGAATTGAATGTTTAGTATTGCTTATGGAGTGTTACATACGAAGGACTAGGAGGAATGTGATGTTAATTAGGTTGTCTTTCGTTAAGAGGAGGGGATAAAGGGTGAGGGATGGGAAAGTCAATCTTATTTTATGGCTCACAACTTCACAAGGAGAGGAAGGTGTTTTATAATTAATATAGTTTTACTCCTGTGTTTATATCTTTTTCTGTCTCGTTGTTTTAACAAACTGCGCTACAATTATAGAAATAGTCATTTAAAATGCTTTTAATTTAATTCATGCCTCTAAATCTTTCAATGTTGGAGGAGTCAAAATTGAATGAAGAGGCAATAGTTATTGAATACAAAATGTGAACAAGTTTTTTTATTTTTTATCAATTCAAATGTATTATGGTAGTAGAAACTTCCATATACCTGGTTTTTTGGTTAATATAACTTCCATTTACCCAAAGAGAGATAGGAGCAACTATTTGGATTCAGACACTCCTTTTTTTTCTCTCTCCGTGTGACAAGGATCAGATAACATGTTGGCTGGTGTGTAAAATCAAGCTTCTCAAATGCATTTTTGTTTTTGATGAAGACAAACTATGATTGACAAAGAAGGCAAAGATTATTGATCAAGCTAAAAGCATCTGTAGATAAAATCTTCAGTTCAAACACTTAGCAAAATTTCAAGGTATAATGATAATACGTACTTTGAACTTAAGACATAGATGCTCAATGGTCAAAAGAAATATTTTATATTGTCCAAATCCTTACTCAAGTTTTTCTAAGTTAAAAATCAATTTTTACTTGAGTGCAATCGATTGCATACTTCAATTTTTTAAAATATTTGCTACTGTTTCTAAGTGTAATCGATTTGCATGTTTGTGCAATCGATTGTACTCAATCAATTTTTGCTACTGACTTCAAATGCAATCGATTTACACTCTTGTGCAATCGATTGCACACTCAAAATATTTGAATTTCTAGCTGTTGAAACCCCGTGCAATTGATTTACACAAAAGATGCAATCGATTGCATGCTGCACGATTTTGAAAACAATAACTTTGCACATGCCTGTTCATAACACCATTTCATGGAAATCTTTCACTCAATCTTGGCAATTGTTCATGATTCATTTATAAAATTTTATGCTGTTTCAAAAAAGTGCTATGAACATATAAATACTCATTTTCAAAATCATTTATGCACCTCTTCTAATTATATTTTCTGAATTTTCAAAAATCAAACTCAAGCTGTTATACATTTTCATACACAAGTTTTCTGCACACTTTCACATATTGTTAACCAGAAAACTTTGAGCATTATATATCTTGAGTCATTGTATACTATTATCATTGGAAGAGAAGATCAATTCATTGATTAAATCACTCAAAGTGATCATTGCTACTCAAACTCACTAAAATCAAATATTGCTATATACTTGCTTATTTTTCAAGATTGTTGGAAATAAGTTTAAGTGGTTTTATAAATCTTATTTTTTTTCCAGGATTGTTGGATACAAGTGAAGTCACTTTGAGAGGATTGTTCTCATTGTTGACATAGTGAAAATCTAAGAGGATTGTTCTTGGTTTTGGATAGTTCTTGTTAAAGTTTGCCACAATAAGGAAATCTCTTTCATGTTGAAATGAGACTGAAGTACTCTCGGACTGTGAGGGGAACCAGGATATATCGCTTGTGTCTCTTTATTTTTCTGCACTTTACTCTTTCACAAACTTATCATATCCAGAAAAATAATATTCATCATCACTAAAACCAGAAATTTTTAAAGTACTTAATTCACCCCCTCCCTCTTAGGCGCACTTCGTACTTACAATTGACATCAAAGCAGGTTATAGGTAACCTGTTCCTAAAAGATTCAGAATGACTTTCGCAAATCAAAATCCCGTTTTCAAAGATGGTGGTAGTAACAACATGCCTCCTATATTTTGTGGTGAATATTTTGACTTTTGGAAAATACGCATGAAGACACATCTAGAAGCACAAGGAGAAGAAATATGAGATGCCGTCGAGAATAGTCCATTTATCTCTATAACGGTAATCAATGGTGCTGACTCATCAAAGCCTAAAGCTGCATGGGACGAAGATGATAAGAAGAAGGTTCTCTATGATAAAAAGGCAATAAATCTTCTTCAAGGTGCACTTAGCATGGATGAATTCTTCCGTGTCTCGTCATGCAAAACAACGAAAGAAATATGGAATATCTTGGTACAAACTCATGAAGGAACTATT